AAATATATTCCACAAGATGCTATGAGGGCTGCTTCCCATGCTTCCATCTCAGGCCTTGTTCAATGGTGTGTGCACTACTAAGTTCCAGGCAAATGGGTCCCCTTTCATCACCCCAATCCCCCCCACCTCAAAAAAAAAAAAAAAAAAAACCAAAAAAACAGCCTCTTTTCTGAGTCAGGATCTTCTCTTTGTCTGAAAGTTTTTCTCCAGTTTTTAATATGACTTCATCCTCTAAAATCTGGTGCTCTGAGCTTCACAAAAGCCTCCCTGATACCCCCAGGTCTGTCAGGTCTCCCTCTGACCCACTCTCTTATTACCATCTGCTTTACCTCTGCAGTGTGTTCTAGAGCTATAAATGGTTGTGTGGTTTTCTGTGTAGTATTTCCCCACAGACTGGAAACATCTCTAAGTACCTGTCTTGTTCACCTTTACATTCTTGATGTCAACACAGTGTTTTAAGGAAGAACAGGCCACTAAGTACTTCTTCAATGGGTGAAAAAAGGGAGCCTCTACTAAATTTTACAATTATTAGCTGCATTCATAAAGTAGGGTAGACATTAAGTAAAAACATTTTGTATGAACAGATCCCCCCCCTAAGTCACTCTGGCCTAAGGACAATAATATAAATGCCATGAATGGCAGCAGCCTCTTTGACTAAGGTCATAAATCAGACACATCCAGACTGTACCATTCACTGAATCATACTCAAATACCTACTTTCTCCATTTGGACACTTTTCAGAGTTCAGGTGTGGCTAGGGTTGTTTTGCAATGCATTTAAAAAGCAAAACATCTTTTTTTCCACCAAGGATACATTAGTCGTTATTTAATTACCTACAATTAACAAAAGCAGAGGGAGCAATTTCTTTTTGGAATCACAGGCCTTCTCCTAGACATTATGAACTGAATATATACAAACATATGTTTTTGCAAAATGTTGCAGTATCTGCAAGGGAAGTACCTACTTGTCACTGTAACCTAACCTATCTTTTCTCTTCCATGAACACCCACCATCATCCCAAAGTAAAAATCAATTTCTAAATGAAATAGAATCATGTTGGAGTTGGCAGAACAAGAAATGTGAAAAAAAGATTGCCATCTGGAAAATGAGTATTAATAACTAAAGAACTTCAGGTTCTAACATAAATGAAAGATATTTAAAAGAGCTTGACAACATTCTTCTTTCTCAAAATTGAATATGTTTTATAGTGTTGAGAAATGCATTGGGAGGCCTCAAATACAAATTTACTAAAAGCAATCTAGGAGTATTAAAAACTGACAGAGAACATGCTTTACTCTGGAAAAGAATGTGTGACATTGTGTCACTAACTGAATCCTGCTATGGTAGGCAAGTAAGATGCTGCTTTGCATGGTGTACAACCCAGAGTACACCATCTCTAGAACTGGGAATTTCTTTTGAGAGATGGATGGCAGAAAAGCTGCACTTGGGGGGACTAGCTTTGTTTGCTACATTAAAATGGAAAATGAATTTCTATTGTAATTTTCTCTCCTTCTTTGTACTTAGGAATTCTGAAGGAAAGTACATTTTGTTCACATCTCTTACTGTCAGGCTCTCTAGTGTGGCAAGAAGAGAACCACCCCACTGCTGCCTTCCGTATGTCCTGCCAGTGGGGCTCGAAGGGGGGAATGTCTGCCCATGTCCTTTCTACTGAGCTAGAATAGACACACTGACATTTGCCCACTAGCAGGGCAGAATGACTACTGCCACTGCAGCTTCAGGATATTATCTAGCCCCTGCCATATCTGTCCTTTTTCAGAGTCATGGGAACAGAGATCATTAACACAACTTCTCGCCATTTGCCTGGATCCTAAGATGTAAAGTTACTGATCAACTTTGGGCTATGTCTTAAGGCAGATGACACTCACCAGAGAAGCAGAGGCAACAAGATCTGTAGAGGGGGTATGATGCAAAATGAGCAGAGAAAAGTCATGACAATATGCTAGGGAGTCTGGGGAGGTCCAGTGTGCTGGTATGATTACTCTAGCCTCTGCATTTAGCAGAGATGTTACTTGGGGCATCCTTGAGAATAGGTGACACTCCATTGGGGTAACAGAGAGAAGAAAGAAATCACCTGGACTCTATATGGAGGGAAAGCACCATATGTAACTGTCCTGGCACTGCTTTAAGCCTTGCACAGTAGTAGGTGCTAAGGACATTTCTCTTGAATGAATGGATAGTCATTTCAAATGCAGAACTATAATTGGTAAAAATGGCTTGAATGTTAGAACAATGTCTCATGCCAGATAATCCTTCTATGAGTATTAACTGTGATTTTAATGACAGCATTTATCAATAGGTTAAGTTTTGTACTATTCTGTTTTTTTTTCAATTTGTTTTTTAAAGATTTACTTATTTATACATACAAGAACTGGGGTGTAAGCCAGAGGTGCAGGAGGTAAGGGGATTCACCAGAGAGAGTGGGGAGCAGAACAGGTAGATTGACTGAAATACACTGCTGAGGGGAACAGCAGGTGAGTCAGGAGAGGTCTGCTGCACCATGTGGGTTGCTCCCTGGTTGGCTGGGGATCGAACTTGTGCTCTAGTGGCTGGCAGTAGCTTGTTAGCACAGTCTTTAACCCCTGTGCCACCAGGAAGGCCCTATTCTAGTGGTTTTTTTTTTTTTTTTTTTTTTTTTTTTATGTCTATTTGTCTTATTCGCCAGAAAAATTCTGGTAATGTTGGACATCAAATTGGGTAGGAAAGGGTCTCTGAGATCCTTATTTTCCAAGTGAGGGACCAGCGACCAAGGTTCGTGAGGATGTTGTCTAAGGCCACCTCTCTCATGGCAAAACCAGGCCAAGAATCCAGCTCTAACTTCATATTATTTTCAAACATTGTTATCAAAGAAAAAAATTAAAAAATAAGATATATAAAAAATGGATGCCTATCATTGAGATGCTTGATGTTTGATATAGCACTTCAATACTTTTTAAAAAATCTCTTGTTTTGCAACAGGTTAGCAAAGCTACAGGCCTTGGTAATGTGTAGGAGTTTTTCCTGAAGTGATTTATTATACACATTAATTATAGTAGAGCCTGATTTTTTTTCTAGTTGTGCAACTTAGAAATTGATGAAAAAGGTTTAGAGTAACATGGAGCGATAAATCACTCATTGTGATATGCCAAGCCTAAGGATATAGTTTTTATTAAAAACAAACAGACAAACCAACAAACCAATTGGTTTTCCAAAACCAATTCTTCAGTTTTCTAAGAGAAACTTCAGGTCATAAAACAATTTTAGGCATTGTTCAGAATAACTGTGATCACAATGCAGATTATTCTGGCCGCATCCTTTAATCTAGACAGGTGTTCAGAGTTCATGCACTTCTAGTGCTGATCTCCAATAGCCACAGCATGGGAAAAGTAAACTTAAGCTCTTTATTCCCTTATTATCTAAACTACTAAGCAATTAGAAATCAAAGGCATTCATTTTGTTCAGAATGGCGTTTTTATCATTGATTCTACATCCATGTTTTTATATCATAGCAATCACAAAGATTTAAATGTAGCTTTCTTTGAATATATGTGTGTGTGTGTATATATATATTAAAGAAAAGGATTATTAGGAAAGGGGCAGAAAAGTAAAGTGCAACTTGCAGAGACTCAAGTTGGCAGAAAGAGCTGCCTTCTTTGAATATATTTTATACCTCAACAAATACATCTTTAAGTGGAAAAGTTGGCACTAGTGATCAAAGAGCAGTTGCGACTCAACCAGGTTTCAAGAAAGTCATATAATGGGAGTCTCCAAATTAAAAGAAATATTTGTAAAATCTTTAAGGTTTTAAAATTCTGAAATGAACAATCATTGGATATTTAGATTTTAGCTCATAATAACTTCTAAAGCAGAATATATGATCCAGATGAATGAAACAGTCTCATGATATTTACTTACACAAAGAAAGAAGCCTTCTGTTTTACCATCAAGATCATAAAGAACAGCAATAAAAATATGACAGAGATGGTAGATATTATGTTAACTGGAGACATTTTCTTCAAAAGACCTTTTGTTAGGGCAAGCCTCTTCATATATTCAGTACTATTTCTCAAAAGAGTCTCTTTCAAATTTATTTTTAAAAATTCCTCAAATATGATAATAGGGAGCTATGGTTGAAGAAAAAGGAAAAGAAAAAAAAAAAAAAACACACACCCATCACCTTATATCATATATTTGTATCTCTACCATATCATTCTGCTGTTTTGTGGTAAATAGCAATGTTCAATAGTTGATAATGATGTTTTCTAAGGTCAAAGAAAAAGTAGATTTGAGATTAGTTTTATGTGTCTTAGTGAGTTATTTGAATTTAATATTAAGAAGTAGCTGTTTACATTACTTGGGAGTGATTTCCTCAAAACTCTTCTAATTGATATATGTTGCCATACTCCATTATGATTATAAACATATGGCTAAAATTTCAACTTTAAGAGAGTTTGAGGCTTCAGTCATTTCCAGTTATTAGAACTAGTTAGTTGGAAGATGACACAGGTAAACCTCTTGTTAAATGGAAGAGAGATGCACTTTCTTTTCATTTAAAGCTTCTATATCCAATACTTAGGCTGAGATTTTTCAGTTGTATTTTATTAGTTGTATAATTTAAAATGTTTACCAAATGAATTGCATCAAATAGAAAATCTCTGATGTTGACCACAAATTTCAAATCCATCAAAGAAGAAACATGTATTCTAAGAAATCTGCAGAATAATATTTACAAGTAGTTGGTGGAAATCTAATTATAAGGGGTAGTCTCCACAGTCCTTTAATTTTATGAAAGAGAGGTTTTAAAGTTACCCCAGAATGATAAGATATTCCTTTGTTTTACTTAATTTAATCAAAATGGTCTATCGATAACAATAAAAAAGAGGTACTTGTTAAATCCTGAAAAATCTTAGATTAACTGAAACCAAAGTAGTTTTCTCTTACTAAAAGCCCCACACTTCTCAACGAGCCATTAATATAGAGTGTGGATAAACAGATGCACTTACCTGGAATTAAAGTTGAAAGAGCAGAAAACGCTTGAGAAAGTTTCCATAGATTGAAAAGACACGGAAGGCGCAGTAGCTACGACCATCGGTCAGGCTTTTGGGCGGCACGAGTGGCAGCAACACCAGTTGTGGCCCAGGCCCCTTGTGTTATGTAACATCTTATTAATATTAGCTATCAACCTGCTACCAAGCTGCTGAGGCGCTAGAGGGCAAGAGTGTCACACGCAAGACCCATCGCCCGGGGACCGGCGCTGGTGCCACTCAGGAAGACAGATGCTAACTGAGCTGGCGAATAACAGGATGCCCGAACTCAGCAGAGAACTTGCCGTGTGTTCCTCCAGGAATACTGTAAGCGCCCATGTCGCGGCTAGCTGAGGAGTGCACAGAGTTAATCAACATGCAGGAACCGGTCCCCGCGCCACGCAGAAACTTTCAGGACGGGATGGACAGCCCCGCGGTCATCCTGAGGCTGTATTTTTCATTGTCTGAATAAACTTGCTCCAGTCAGGAGGAGCAGCCTGGAGAAACCAGACGAGTGTCAGTCTCAGGACCTCCCCAGCCCCGGCCAGCTCGTCCTGCTCGCGTGTGCGCCCCGCGGGCCCGCGACCCGGGGCGGGGTGCGCTCCCCGGGCGTCCGCGGCGGTTACCTCGGGCTGCGGCTCCGCGGGCTCCTCCTCCCGGGGCGCTTCTCCGCGGCTCCCCGAGGCGGCCCCGCAGGACGACGCGGCGCGGGTGGCCGGGAGGGGTGACGCGGGGACACCCTCGGGCGCCGGTCCCCGAGGGCCGAGCCGGCGGCGAGGCGGGCGCGGCCGGGAGCCGCGGGCTCGGGGGCGGCTGCGGGACGCGTGCGGGGGCGCGCCCGGGACTCCTGCGCTCGCCGATGCGCACCGCGGCCCCGGGACCCGCCCGGCCGCGCCGCCGCCGCCCTCACGCGCCTCCCGGGGCGGGCTCCGCCGCTCGCCGCTCCCCGCTCCCGGCCCGCGCGCGCCCGCCCACCACCCGGGGAGCGGCGGGGCGGCGAGGGCTGAGCGGCGCCTCCATCCGCCGCCCCCGCACCCCGCCCCCCGCCCCCGGCGACCGCGCCCACTCGCCTTCCCGCCGCGGCGGGGGACCCCGGGGGTGCCGCTGCGCCAGCTGCCGGGGAGCTGGGCGCTGGCCCCCGAGGCGGCTCCGGGCAGGTGGGCGCAGGCGCTCCGGGCGCCCCGGACGCGGGGCCCGGGGCGCGGAGGCGCGTGTTGGCGGCTCCCCAACCGCCTCTCCGGGCAGCGCCCAAGGACCAGCGGAGGGGCAGCAGCTGAAGGGATGTTTGGGGTACAGGGTGTGAGGTTACACTCTTCGAAACCGCACTGTGATTGGGGACCTCAATCAAATGATTTTTAAAAGGTTTCCTTTTTTTCCATAATGAAGTGCAAAGGTGGGGTCGGCTAACCATAACTTGGAGGGAATATTGGAGATTTTGCTGCTCCACCCTCCTCTTTGTGGAAACTGTTCCCTTACCCACCCCCCCACCCCCAGGATCCACCTGCCACTCAGACCTTTTGCTTCGGGTGGTGTCAACCCCCTGAAGCACACGGTTCAGGTGACAGGGTGACCCGCGCCGCTTGGGTCTGGGCCATTGGCTGCATTATGTTCTCCTGGTGGCGGAACTGATTTAGGTACTTGCGGCCCAAGTCTGACAATCAGCGAGAAAAAGCCACCCTTTGGGGACTTTTCCTGGCCCCCACTTTGGAAATTAGACCCCCTTCCACAGGACTTTCCAGAGTAAAATGTGAGCTTAGACCTTATGTCACTAGGTGAAATCTGAGAATGACTGATACGCAGGGGAGTATTTCTGGGAGTTGGGGAAAAGCTCAACTTATATGGGCATATTTAAGCTCTAAATCTACCTGTGCCTGAAAGAAGTTCTTGCCTCAAGATGCTGTCTTATATCAATAAATTCCCTTTTTCCTTAAGGCACCTTGAGTTGAAATTTCTGTCCTTGGAATTGAAAGAGACCAATGATATACAGAAATTAAGCATTTTTGGTAGTTTATTAGCTTTATGAGGACCTTAGAGGTCCCCTCAGGGAGGGTTATCTTCAGCTAGGCTGGGCCCAAGGGACTATTGAATTTCCTGAAGCATTAGGAAGAATTTCCGCTTTCGCCAGTGGCTGCTTCTTAAACCTTTCCCTCTAGGGCCTCCCCGGTGGCGCAGCAATTGAGCGCTGGGTTGGAGGCTGCCCGCTGTCTCTGCAGCGCCGGTTCGATCCCCGGCTGCCGGGCGAGGGTCCCACATGGCGCGCAGACCTCTCCTGCCACGCCCGCTGCTCCCCTCAGCAGTGTACTTGGTCGGTCTGCCTGTTCTGTTCCCCGCTCTGGTGAACTCTCTCACCCTCCCGCGCTTCTGACTGTACCCAGTGCTTGTATAAATAAATAAATAAATCTTAAAAAAGAAAACAGAAAACCTTTCTCTCTATAGGAACAGATACACAGAATTATGACATCTTTCTCTATGAGGTAGTCCAGTCTTAGAGCTCTATTCCAGAAGTTCCCGTCCATACACACAGCGAAATTTAGATGAAACAGCATGAAAGCGCATACACTGTGTGCCTGCACTTCCTTCCATTCCTGGACTCCTTGTCCCGCAGAGGTCTGGAGGGCTGTATATTGGTGTCAACCACTGCCCCCTCCGGCCCTTCCTCCTACCTTCTTTTTCCTCACCAAGGGATAGTAAGACCAGAGAACAATCTCCCTGTGAAGAGACAGTCAGTGCAGTGTCTTTAGAGACAACAAGGAGGCTGTGGCAGAGGTGGAGGAAGCCATGTGGCCCAGTTCCTCCTGTTGTAAAGCACCTTGATTTAGGGTATCTCCAACTAGTTCAAAATAAGATTGATGTGTTAGGTTTAGTTTAGATTTGGGGAATATACCATAGTTTTTATAGACACCTTCGGCATTTCTATTATCATCTGCATACATATTGTGAATGTCAAAAAATTTTTATTAGAGACCCAGCTTTACATACACAATAAGATACAAAGATGCAGAAAGCAAAATTAGGCACTTTTGTAAATTTAGATAATGCTTGATTCAGTCACTTTGAAATAAGGCAGTGAATTATGGTGACATAGAGACTTAACAATACAGGCTTCATATAAATTAAAAGTTATTTGATGGATTTTTGGCCTTTCTCAAAAGAAGCCAAAGAGGGTGATGATTATAAAGATATTTTTGGACACATTTCAATTTACAGAATCCTGTTCTGTTTTTCAGTGTCTAAAACAGCATGTTAACCTGAGAGAGCAAGGTTTTTCAAAATGCAAGTTTTTAAAAGACCACACAGTAGGATCTGTCATGGATTGGAGACGACTGAAGAGATACATGACTACATGCAATGTGGAGTCCTGGTTGAATTAGAATAGGAGATTAGTGGGAAAACTGGTGAAATTTGAATTAATTCTATAGATTAGTTAACAATGTTGTATGATATTAATTTCCTGGCTTTGACAACTGTAATGTGGGTAGGTTAGATAGTAACAATAGGGCAAGTCAGGTTAAATGGAAACTGGTTCTTATTTTTGAAGCTTTTCTGTAACTCTAAATTATTTCAAAATTAAAAAAAAATTAAACATGGAGTTTTTTTGGTATGCAAATTGTAACTCAATAAAATAATTAAAACGAAGCAAAAGAACACATCAGTATTTCTAACCTGAAATAGCTAGTAAGTGTAAGCATCACAATTTCTTGAAAAATATTCAGCTTGGATGTACAGTTATAATAATTAATGACACTCTTAACCTGCTGAAGGGTGGTAAAGGAGACATTTGAGAAGAAATCGTATTCTAGCTAGGAACTGCTAGCTTAGCCCAAGGAAACATACACCAACTTTCTTTATTGTGTCAAGACATATTAAAGTGAAAATAGATCAAAACCAAAAAGCTCAACAAGATGACTTGTTGGGAGGAAGAGAAATGAAAGGGGTATGAGGCTTCTCTTTTGTCGTAGAATGATGACTTTCACCTGCCTCTCAGTCTCCTTGCAAGCATTGCATTCGAGACAAATATGAGACTGAAATACTAGAATGAAAAGCTCTGCTTAATTTATGAAACACCAAGTTAAAGCTTAATAGACTAGATTAGAGATGGTCCTCAAACTTTAACATGCATCAGTACCACCTGGAGGGCTTACTTAAATGGCGGGTCGCTGGACCCCCCACCTCAGGGTTTGCGATTCTGTTGGTCTAGGTTAGGACCTGAGAATTTGCATTTTTAACACATTTCCAGATACTTCTTTGAGACCACACATTAAGATCCCTTGGCTTAGAGTATTATTGAGAACACTGATTATATTTTTATATAGCTCTATAAAAATGAATGTTTATTATTATGTAAGTAATTGGTTTTCAAAATAAATTTTGTTTTTAAGTTAATCTTATTAAATATACAATAAATTCAGCATTTGCATTAGCTTTCCATATGTAGACTATCAAAAAAAAGCATGTTTTGTTGAAAATTATAGGGCCTTTGGTTTAGTAGAAAATTGCAAGATTTGCAACCAAATGCCCATTGACAGATGACTGGATAGAAAATTTGTGAAAGAGATACTCGGTGGACTACTTACTCAGCTATTAAGAAATATGAAATAGTGCCTTTTGGGGGGAAAAAAAGGATGAATCTTGAGGCGATGATGCTAAGTGAAATAAGTCAGGAAGTAAAAGACAGTTACCACATGGATTCACTCATGGCAGAATATAAATAGCCAAACAAAACAAACAAGCAGAACACAACAAAACTAACTTTGAGATCCCAAGAAAGCTATAGTGGTTTCCAGAGGGTAATGGATAGTGTGGGACAGTGGTGGTGGGGAGTGAGGAAAGGTGTAGAAGATTAACTAATAGTGTATCAGCCCAGGAGCTTTGGTGAAGGGTGAATGATACAGGCCCACATGTTGAGATGCCAAGTATTGCTCTGAAATGTATAAATTATAGTTTAGCAGACAAATGGCAGATCGATAAAGTTTTGAAGGAAAAAAATGTAGCAAGATTTGGAAGCAGGAGAAGAAATACTATAGGTACAGAGCATTGTAGATCAGTAGTTGTTTAAAACACTCTCAAAAAGAGAAGGAGATTATTTTTCTAGTATAATAGGAACTGGTTTCCACTATGTCAGATTAAAGAAATCACTTTATTTTAACTTATTAAAATTTTTATTCCTTACTCAAAAAGTAATTTTACATTTTATTTTCTATCATTTCATTTTCAATTTCAAATGCTTTGTCCTCAAAAATTGCTTTTTCCAAACTACGTGAGACTAGTTTCAATTCTTAGGTGCTGATCATAGTGCTGTTAATTACAAGCCTTGGGTGATAACTATTTGGCAGGGTAAACGTATTCATACCTGTAGGTTTAGCATACACTATCGAAATAACTGTTGTTTTGCTTCATTTGAAATGGGAAATACAAGCAAGCATCAGATTGTACAACATACTGTGAGGGTCTTTTTACTATTTAGGCAAGACCAGACATCATTAAGGTGTTTTCCTTTTGATCTAGCTTGCAACATTAAAACATCGTTTTATGGCTTGGCCTCGCGCCAT